TATATATATATACGTTCGTTTCTTTCAATTTTCAACAAACGTTAAAAAGAAACATCGAACGTGCGTTAAAAAAAGAGATCAACGTCTTGTAATCTCACGTAACACTTATCATAAAAGACAGCGCGATAACACCGCGATAAACGAAACGCGTTCCTCTAGTTCGTTTTAATTTCGATTCGTTGCAGGGAAGATTTTTTTTACAAAAGAAAAGCGTACGAATACGAAAACGCGGGAACAATTCCCAACAATTGATTGCGAATGAACTCGATTCAAAGAAAAAAAAAAAAAAAAAAACTAAGATAATAAAGCACGAGGAGAATAAATTTTTAATTTCCGTAAGACTATACTCACGATCGTTTCAACGCGACGATGAGGATCGAGAAGAAAATGTTGGAGTCTCGATCTCGTTGCACCGATCTCGAACACCTTGACTAGTTTATATTAGACTGCAGTTCTTATTCGTGCCACCTCGAGTGCGCTTCTGGCTGATCTTAGCTTTTCAACTGCAACTATATACGAAGACGAGCTCTATCGGCCAGCAAGTGATTCTAGATAGCGAGGCCTCTGCCTCTCTCATTGGTTACTGGTGGGGTCGTTCCGGGTCGTTCTCCACCCCGGACGAAAAGTCTTCGTTCATCATCTTCTCCAAAGAAGATTCATCGTCTGCCTTATCGACCTTCTTGATGGCCCTTCGTCCTTTTTTATACGTTTTCGTGGCAGAAGTCCTTGAGACTCGAGGGAAACAGCGAAGTTAAATTTTATTTCGACAATTCGAGATACGACTCGTTTCAAGAATAGGTAATTTCAATCGGTGGATATAATTAAAAATTGAATGTAAGAACGTGTTAAAACATTTTTAAGAAGATTTTTGAATTACAAAAATCCTAGAGATAACAAATTTCGACCAAATTTACTTGAGCATATAGTATATAGTATTCTATTTTTTTATAGCATATAGTTTTATAGCATATAGTATTCTAATTTTTTTTTATTATCAGGATATAATTCGAATTCTTGTTAAAAGGAAAGAAAATTTTGTATCGTGAAAAAAATTAAATATTGATAGATAATTTTTTTTTATTTTGTGTAATTTTGATTTTACAGATTAAACAGGAATTTTAATTCAAAAGAATGTATAAATATCATAATATCGTTTAATTAAACCGATTGTGGGTATTTTTATGAAATATTACGTGTTATTGCTTAAATATTTGAGATCATCATCAGTTGAGGAAGAGAAATGATAAATTATTATTATACGAGTAGAATAATAGTTTCTTTAATAATTAAAATGGATTAAAAGAAGATAGTAGCTTCCTTTTTAATTAGATTTATATATCTGATGCCAAAAGTGATGATTATACGTATATGCATGATGAATAAATATAGGAAATGGTATATATGCATTTTGTTTCTTCTTTCTGTTTGTCACGGTTTTAAAAATAGATACGAGAAATAGATTTATTTTTTTGTGCAATATTTTCAGCAACTTAACTAACAATTAAATTTATCTATATTTTAATTAATAATTTTATAACAAGGAGTTATAAGTTTTAGTTTTTATAGAGCAAAATGAAATTCCAAACTATTTTCTTATAAAAAAGTCATAAATGAAAATCAGTTTATAAACAGATACATATGAATCACATATTATAATTTTTATATATTTGAAGAACATTTCGCATAAATTTATAGTATAAATCGTTTTTATTTGTTAAAATTATCAGTCACGTTAAGTGAGAAGACAAAGATATTTTAAGAAATTCCCATATCTTTTTAATAAAATAAAAATTTGTGAAGATCCGTGACAAATTTATACGATTAAATGTACGATATAAGTTCATTGATTCTTGATTCTTCTTAATTATGATTTTTCTATAAGATGTATATAATTCTATATAATTATATGTATATTCTATAGGATGTATATAATCTTGTTTAATAATAGGAATCTAATAATAGTTCATGTTTTGACGATTAGATTTAACCTTCCGGAATTACATTACTAACATTAATTAATTAAAAATAAATTAATAGAATTCTATTATTATATCACGTTGAAAAATGTTCAACGATAAAGCACATCATTACGTTTTTCATCTCATAATATATTTCAAATGATTATATTTCATTTTGTAATACATTGAAATTTTCAATCACAATGTAAGAAATATAGTCGTAAAATGTTAACATCGTATCAAATTATTATTACGCAATTCGAACAAGCTTATATCCACACAAGTCGTATATGCAAATCAAACAACGCGAGTGATGATACATTAATGATTGACATTCTGTATGTACTGAATAAATGCAACGCATTTTATTTTCACAACCTTCATAACTTTTAAGAAGAAACAACTTCATTTTTTCCAATTATTTTTTATCGATTCCAATTAATCGAGTGTATGCCTCACGATAGAATTGAAAGAACTTGCTTTCTTATTACCACAGTGAGATATGTTTTGTTTGTTTGATAACCATTCTACGGAAAACACGTCATTTGTTTATAGAAAACGTTACGATAATGATGATTTTTCAGAGAGTTTTTAAATAAAATACATCGCAATTTCTACTCTTCGTGTTGCTGAATCAGTGAAAGAAATGATTAAGATTGTATGTTTTTTATATTTGCATTTTATAATTTTCTTTTTTTTTTTTTGATATATAGTTTATGAATCAAAAAAAAAAAAAAAAAAGATAGGAATCTTTGAAATTTAATAGGATGAAAAAGAAAAACTTAATTTATGGGAGATATGTTGAGTGTATGTTTTTTTTCTTTCTTTAATAAATTTTTTAATCTATACAAATATGATTATTGATGATGTGAAGTAAATTTTTATGGAAATATTAAAATATTGAATGGAATATATGGAAATTTCGTCATAAATATTTGTATGTTTATCTATCAAAAGTCACATAATTTACTTTTTTTTTATCAATGAAATATGATAATATTTACAGTTTTGTTTCGTTAATTAACAGGAAACAGAGAGAATAACGATGAATGAAAATCGGAAAAACCGTTTTTCCTCAGTATATAGATTGATTGAGAAAAGGAAACTTGGTGAGGAGGAAGTTTATTATCTTCTGTGATAAAAAGTCATTGCAATATCTAGAAATGTAAATAAGTCGCACAAAAGTTAGAAGAATAAAACTTATTTACGAAATAAACGAATATTCAACGTTTAAAATCATTAAAAATGACTAATTTGAAATAAAGATTAATACAGTGAATAAATGAGATGTGTCATTCAAAGAAATTTCATTTGGTAAAAGAAAATCGAAATTTCTTTCGATAACAATATTTTAAAGTAATATTATTATTCAACATCGACATTGTAATGTAAAAATCATTAAATTCCATTAACGATATTAATTAAACGAAACGTGAAGAATTATACAATATATGTTTGTTGAAATTTATCAATGGAACTTGTTTTTCAATCAGGATTAAAAATCATGTTTTCAAACAAACAAGATTAGGGTTGTCGAGCCAGAAAGTCTTCGGTATTCGATGGTAAGTTAAAGTTGAACTGTTCGACCTAGTTGGCTGCACGCCTATAAAACAAATCCTTATCGTGCCAGCACATTATAGTAATACTTATCTACTTACATTATTAAGTAGTATACATATATTAGATTGTCAACATATACAGGTGATTTCATAATTGGACGAAGTTTTTTAACTCTTTCAAAATTAAGAGAATTATAAATAACAAACTAATTCTTTACAAAAATTATTGTACAAAAATTATCTGTTGTCATTAAGTATTCGCATATTCCACTTTATATAATATTTAATAGTGAGATTAGTATAAATATCGATTGTATTTTGTGTATGTCAAAAGAATGAATTCAAGAATGTTGTTCATATATGTATTGATATTATACTCACATTGGCACATGGTTTGAAATTTGACCATGAAATTTAATTGAAAATTGATTGAATTATATTTTCGATATATGGATAGACTCAGTGAATAACTAATTAATATTTGCAACAGATAGCTAAATAGTTAGATTTGTTAGTAGATAGTAGTTTTACGAGTTGGATTTACAAAGTCTACGATTTATATCTGATTTCGTTTATCCAATAATTTTTGTACTCTGTGATACATCCAAAATATAGATGTAGATGAATATTGATTATGTTTAATTTAGATTAGAATTTTTGGTTAGAATTTGGATTATATCTAAATTTACTTCGAATATATTGCATATTCGACCTTTTGTTTGATTTAGCGTATCTGAGTTTATTTTGAGTTAGATTAGTGGTTTGAAAAAGTCCTGTTTTGATATACGAGACTGCAGATTTTTCGTATTTTATTTTTTCAAGATTATTGGGGTCATTGGGAATCAGCGCACATATATACATACACATGTAGATCCGACAGACACCAGTTCATGGTGCATACCGGTTCATTATAGCGGTATTTCATCTTTTTTATGATTATTGGAATTAACAGCATTATATAAATGATATTAAAAAAAAATCTTGTTTACATTTGTGAAGAGATTATTATTTCCTTATTGAACGTTAATGTTTGTTTAAAAACAAATTCTGAGAAAATTTGATTTTTTTAAATGGGAAGGGGGGATTAAATATATCAAATTTTAATGATTTTTGTTCTATTCTAATTAAATAATTATCGATATAAGGAATAGATATGAATAAAAAAAATTAACAATATTTATCGTTTCAATATTAAATATATTCGAATTATTAGCTAATAATTTCATTTTCATAATAATACTTTTGTATAATTTTAATTTTTGTTCTTAAATAATCGTTGAAATGGATGAAGAATTATTTTCACTATTATAATGCAAAAAGAAGCTATTGTTCGTGTATTTATTTAATTGTGTAATAGCGAAAAAAGAAGCTTTAAGTCAAGGATATATTATTTTTAAAAAAAAGGGGAGATATTAGCGTACGTGTCTAGCTTATCTTCGAGAAATACGATATTTTAAAACGAGATAGCTTTAAAAAAAAATTAAGAAGGCCAAGGGCAAAAATATGTACATAATGTTTGAAATTATTCAAACACATTATACCAAAATGTACATCTAATTTCGAAAAATCAATAAAATTCTATTTATCTTATATTTTTATATTTCCTATTCTTAAACCATTAGTATAATTAAAGACATTGAACACAATCCTAGATCACTATAATGAATTTTACCATGCCCTGAATAGGATGTTACGCTCAATTCAGTAAGCGAGCCATTCATTCTTGATCACGCTACGAGCCACGAGATTTCGTCTGCTCCATTATTATCAATTACATAAATCGATTCCTCGAAATGTGTTTTTGCACGCGCCACATATAGATAACAAGAGTTATCAACATCGACTCGTCGATGAAGAACGATGCAAATGAAATAAAGTTGCATGACAAGAAATTAAACTTCAATAATTAAAAATATGTTAAAAAGGTATTATTAATAACAAAATATTATATTAATTTAAATTTAAATTTTTCAAGAGAAATATTCAACATTCTTTATGATGTCTACATCTACAACATTCTAATGATATCATTGAAAAAAAAGGTTTGTATTCAATATATTCTATTAGAAAAATTTCTCAATAGATTGAATTAAAATTTGTGTGTAAATATATAATGTAAATTGTAAAATATTCGAAAGATTAATATAATTGGATTTACTTCATTGATTTATTATTTTTTTTTTCAGATTGTCAAGGTAAACTTCACTCTTCAAAGAATTCCACAGGAAAAATTCTAATCCATTAAATGTGAAATCACATGATGTTGGTAATCTCCTTCAACGTGCGTCATATGATCATATGATACATCTTATAAATTTATGTCAATCCAAAAACGATTGACAAGCTAATAAAAAAATAATTGCAGCCCCTATTAATGAAATAATTCCTATTATTTTTGCTATTGTGGCGAACATGTAATGAAAAATTAGATAAAACGAGCAGGAGCTTGAAGAGGTTGTTTGAATGATAATTTATTCTCTTTCATTGATTAATGTTTAAGCGGATTTTATATTAAAACAAAGAAATCTGAAATATTTCGAATAGTTTGTGTTTTCGAGTTTGAAAAAATATGTCACTTAATTTGAATATCCCTATATACGTTAAACCGAAGTTGTCAAAGTTAATAATTTATAACAGAATAAGAGATAAATTTCAGAATCGTACTGGTAAAACTTCATGATAATTTGGTCACGTACACAATACTTGCACAACAGTCATTTCAATTATATTCTCTGATGAGGTCACAAAAATATTTAAATTCTTAGATACAAACAATATTCACAATTAATTTTCTATATTGATCTTCAATATTAATCTTGAAATAATAAAACCAATCATTAGTCACTTAATTAAGTAATTAGCAGGATGAATTTATCGATCGAACAAATTTAATTCGTATCTATTTAAGAATACTAATAATACAATCTTTCTTTATATCTTGAGTGTAATTAATTAAAAAGAAACTGTAGAGACTTATAATAATTTATTTACAGAATACGTCGCAAATGAAAGTTCTTATATAAGATACTTACGTATTGATTAAAAAATATATTGTAAAACATAATATATTTTGATGCAGATAACAAAATGTTTATTTTTTTTTAACTCAATTTTAATTTATGTATTATTAAATCATTCAGTATAAATATAATTCGTTAAATAAAGTAGAAATTTATTAAATAGAATATTTATTGAAACAATATATCAAACAATGTATCATTATTTTTTATTTAACAAGATTTTTTAGAATAATAAAAGATAAGGAGTTGTGTTGTATCTCCTTGAATCTTTCTCGAATTCTGAAATATAAATAATATATTTCCATAAATTATATTATCATAAATTATGATACATTTGAACAGTGATTCATAAATATCAATTTTTACGTCAACAAAGGAATGAAACAGTTTCATTCTAAAAATTAAAGATGATTTGTGCAGGTATCTTAATGAATGATTAATAAATTTTAAGAGAAATATATATAAGAATGTTTATTTAATTTAAGATCCATTTATTTCTATTATTTAATTGATATTTTGATAATGTAATTGATGATAGAAAGATACACAATGTAAGTTTCATTATAACATAAAATAAAATTTATTCTATGATTACAATCATTAGTTATAAGCTATATACTCTATTTCAAAGTATAGACCACTTCATTTTATAAATATATATAAATGGATATTTTCTTCATCCTCAGTGTTGTTATAAATCTTCTATTCAAGTTTTATTAAAATTGAAAATAAAATAGTACAGAACTCATTACATCAAAATGCATTATTACAAAAAATTGTTTCATACGTGTATTTTTATAGCTGAGAAGGGATAGAAAGAGAAACCGAAAGGGAAATTAAAAGATTAATTTTACATATTGAACAGTTATCATGTTTTGTTCATAATTTATGTTTGATTGAGAGCAAAGGTTAAAAATGATATCAAGAAATGATTGAAATGTGTTTACTTTATTAATTACAAGTAAGTAATTGTTAAGGACTTAACTTTCCTTGAAGAATTATTTGTCTTAATTTTATTTTTTCAGAAAACTTTTTTCATTGTATGGGTATGTGGTTATAATTAAGATAAAAAAAATTATAAACATGAAAATAGGAATTGATCAATGAAAAAATGCAAGTTCCATTCATTTTTCGTTATAATCAATTTTATTTATTTTTATAAAATAATCACGAAATTTCTGCATAATTTAACTTAATTTAACTCGTATGTAAATCATTTCTTTCATTTTTTTATTCGAATCAAATGAAATATACCGATAGAAAAGTTTGTAGTTTAATTTCATTTAAAATTGTTCAAAATTGTGAAACGAGATTCTCGCGCCATCTATATATGCGATGGATTATTATTTGCCCGATGCCATTTATTTTACATTTCCTTTTATAATAGTTTGAAATGGCGTCATGAATGGTCTGATATTTTTACAATTACTTAGAATCTTATAATTGAATTTCCAAATCGTAATTTATATTATTATTGCAAATAATGTGCCATATATTTTTTATTATATTTTACTAACGAATAAATCTACATTTCAGGTCCTGGAGACTTTTATCATCTTGAATATTACAATTATAATACCATAATTCATCGCCTGATGAATGAGTTTCCTGTCAGTTTACCAGAATAGCAGTTAGTTTCATCAGGCGGCCAAAGCATCGACAGTAGTAAAGTCACGCATTTACGTTGCAATTAGATAAGGTAAGATTCTTTGAGTTATTGTTTATTAATTTTTTTATAACTTTATATTTCATCAAATTATTAATTAATTACTATGATTAAATATCACGTATTTAAATCGTAATTGTTAATCATTAATTGCAAAAATATTGTCCAATATTAATTCAAAAATCTTTACAGGATTTCTTGTAACGAATGCGATGTCTTGAATGCGATGATTCTGATGCGGTGAAAAAGTAAGTTCAAAGTATATAATAAAATTTTTTCATTTGAGACGTTTGTTTTCGAGTAAAACAACTTTAAGAAATTTTTAAGTAACTAGTTTTCGATTAGATACGAATGAAGTAAATAACTATATTTTACTTATATTTTACTCTATATTTTACTTATATTCACATTCTGCATGTGAAAATAAGTAAAAAAAAATTTTATCGCTCAAGTTACTATTATTATTATTATAGCTACTGTAATTTCTAATTTCTTAAATCTCTACAAAAAAATAAATTCAAAATAATTTTCTTTTTATTTTATCACAAGATAATTAATAAAACTTTGAAAGAGAAAGGAAGTAAAAAAAATATTATTGGTAAAAAAAAGTATTTTTATATAATACAATATTTAAATTGATTTATTTTGAGTCACGATACCCAATACCAATAAATACTATAATAATTGTTATAATTTTTTATTATATTTTTTAATTTTATATTTTTTACAATTCTTTACTATATTTTTTTTTATCAAAATAGAAAATGTTTAAATAAAAAATTGAAAATAGGAAATTTTGTTCAAATATTTTATAAATATATTAATTTTTAATTTTATTTTTAGCCAATCACTCAATAATATTTGATAACTCAATAATATTTATAGATAAACTGTTCAAATCTATATTTTCTAATAATTATTTGTATCACATAATATTTATATTACATAATAAGCATATATAATAATAATAATACAAATTTATGAAAATATATAAATTATAATTGATATTAAAAGTCTTTTAATGTTCCACATGTTTGTTACATTTCAATTTTTTTTATTGAAAATCAAATAATTAAATTGGAGATGTATATCGACCGTGGTTTCGTGTTTATTTCGGTTTTTTCCATCTTCTTTGTAAATAATCTTTATTGAAAGAGGATTAGGGGTGTGTACATATAATATACATCCATATCAGTGAAGGAACAGTGCAAATTTTGTCATTGTCAAACGGAGAAATGGAATTTTCCATAATGTATTTTGTTCACTATTTAGTTTACAAATTTAAGGAAGTAGCCACAAAAACGGACACATAACAGATAATTAATAGTTCATGTAAATGTATATAGAAATTTTGCATATTCTATTTTATTTTATCAAATTTAATGATTTCACTGACAAATATTTTGTTAAAAATATATATTTTAAAACACATGAAATACATTTTGTTAAAAATTTAAGAACAATCTTGAAGAGCAGTTCGTGTGAATCACTTGATAATGTTTCCACAGATGAATCAGTTTTATTTTCTAGAAGAAACGTGAATCACATCTTTGATAAAATTTGAGGTAATAAATAAGTAAGTAAAGCATCATGAATAACATCAAACTAAACAGTCATACAGTTACACACATTTTCGATATTCTAAAATTCATTATTATGTATGATAAATTGCTTCAATATTAAAATATTAATAAGAATATTATCAATTATCTGAGGCTTTATGTGAAATAATTAATAGAAGAAAAGCAGATAAAAAGTTTCACTTCGAATTTTTTTTTTCTTCGCAATTAATTTCGTACATATTCAAAGAAATAAATATAATTCAAAGAAGGAAGAAAAAAAAAAAGAAAAAGAAAAAAACGATATCCAAAATCGCAATTAGTACTGCATTTTTGTGAAATTCAATATTAATTCGCAAATTGCAGGATATGATGCCTTACTTGATTTTTCGAAAGAGATTTTCGTGCAAAATCCTTAGGCGTGGACCATCGGACAAATTGACGATCGAGCGTGTTGTGTGCGGGTGGAGATGACTTTTTTGTCTATCACCGGTATGATTCGTTTCGATAACCAGTTTCGCCCCACCAAGGTCTGGATTTACATACGTGTCGCAGGAGGCTTTTACGTTCGCTTGATTTTAACACGAATTGTAGTTTCGCGGCAGGCATGAACGGTGCGTGCAGCTGAAACTACGATCCGCTTCTTGTTTTATCACGGTGCACGTTGTAACTATTGTCAACGCGCAACCATAATTTCCTTTTTTTTTTTTTTTTTCCTTCCTTCTTTTCCTCACTCTTGTTTTTCTTTGTTGTTAAGAAAAAAAGAAGCGCGCAATAGTCTTTTTTATTTTTTTTTCTTTAACATTTTTGTTGTGTTTGTGCGAGTTCTTCTCAGTGGCGAACGATCGATAGACTGATCGATAGACTCAAGGAGGGAAAACAAGGGGATATTTAATGCATTCGTCAGTGAAGTTCAAAGGCAAGTTTGTTAATTCGTGATGAGATTTTTTTGACGCATTTTCGCTTTTTTTATTTTCTTGTTGTTTTATGTGATTGAGATATTAGAATATTATATTATTATTATTATTATTATTATTATTATTATTATTTTAGTAAATAAATCATATTTTAAAGAAGAAACTTTCAATTATTATAAGATGCATATAAAACTTTTGATGTAAAATTCTTTTCTTTTAATGTTTGATTTTTGATCAATATAATATAAAATTATTCTATCTAAATTTATTCTATGTTTCTTTTTTAGGAAGATGGTTTCGAATTGAAACTTAACATAAAATTTTCGTCAAATTGTTGTAATTTTAAATAAAAAATTAGGAAAGTTTTATTAATATAATTAAAATTTATTAATTATAAAAGTTAAATCTTTTTGATCATATAATGATGCATTAGTTTATGAAAATATCTTTTTAAATAGATAATTAAATATTGTTAGAAAGAAATTAAATTTTTATTTATTGTGATGATCTAAAGTTAGCAATACTATGTAAATATTGTTTATTTAACGATTCATTTAATTCAAAATAATTAAGCAAAAGGATGAAACTTTATTTAAAGAGAAATTTCAAGATCATTTCTCCTCCATCAACATTTGAAATTTTTGCATGTTTCGTAGATGAAAAATATTTTCTTGCAAATAGTATGAATTATTCGTAAATAATTGTTATTCGTGAGTTAAAACTTAATTTTAAAAACAAGTTTAAAGTTTAACTTTAAAATTATTGTCGAAATTTTTATTATGAAAAACTAATAAAAACATTTAATATTAGAAATATGAAAATATAACTGCTTTGTCGCTAGTAAAGATAAATTGAAGAATTAACACTTTAATATTGTTTTTCCTCCTGTTTATCACATTTGTCATGAACCAAACTGAAAAACGAGGAAATCACGTACCAGGAGCGTTTTGAATTATTTCAAAAGTCACGTAAAATTTCAACTTTCTCGCTTTATATTAAATTTAATGAAATATTTGCACGATCAAAAAAGTGTTTATTCGCAACGAAAGATGTATGAGCAAATATAAATAGTAATATTATAAATAATATTTCGTTACAAAATTTCAAAATAAAAATAGAAATATCAGTGAATATTACTTAAAATTTCTTTTATTTCTTTGTTATAATTAAGATAATTATAGTAATAATATAGTATAATTATAGTAATAATTATAGTAATAAGGTTAAAATCGTTATAATTGAGGTAATTAGGAATGCAAATTTAAATGGAAAAAGTCTTTTATAGATATTATTATTTGAAAAAGTTAGAAAGTGTATTAAGGATTTAACATATACAATTTAATATTGTTACAATAGAATTTTCTTTATTTTTTTCTATAAGTTTTCTATAATTTTGATTATAAGTTACATCTACAATTAAAATAATCTTGCAAATATTTTCTTTATTGATCAGATAAAAATTGTAACAGAAACTTATAATATTAAATTATCATGAAAAATTTTTTTGTCTTTCAAGTCATTACGATATACAAAGTTAAATTTCTTATACAATTTTATCGATTTTGGAGAGATTAATTAAATATCGTTTGCATAACGTGTCAACAACTTATAAGAGATAATTGTAATTTTTTTATAAACGATGTCTCTGTCATTTATTCATTTTTAAAATTTTTAACAAGTATTTTTTTCAAATAAATTATTTAATTATCTTCGAGCTATTTGTGATATTATGTTTTAAGATTTTCCAAAGCATTCTAAGGTAAGGAAATGGTATTTAAGAAATGCATAAATTATTTTAAGTGTACATTATTTTAAACGCTGTAAATTATTTCAGGATTTCTTAATCGAGTTTTAAATAAATAAAACTTTTAAATCAACGATATAATTAGAATTTTTAAATTTAAATTTGTTAATTGTTAATGAATATCAATTATAATGATTAATCATTACGCGATATTTTTTTGAAAGCATCGAAAAATGCATTAATTATCTGAAGATAATCATTTACGTATGTTAAATACACAGAAGGATAGTATATTTATTAAATATTTATTTTCACAAATATTTTGTTCCACTGTCGCGATATCTCAAAATTTTCCCTCTCGTTATCAATTGGAATTAGATGATTTATTTGTACATTCATTGTACACTAAAATTTGTATCTCCTTGATAATAAAAGATAACGAATTACTCGTTTATATTTTTAATTAAAACGAATGATAAAATTATGGGATCAGAATGTTTGTTTTAGAAAAATGGATGCTTAATTTCTTTTTAATTTGCCAATAAAATTTGTTTGAACACCGATATGGAAGATAAAGAAATTATATTTGTTTTGTTGCGATGATGATTTTTTTCAGTCATTCATCTTTTTCTAATTTTTTTTTTTTTTTTTTTTTTAAATAATTTTATCATCCATGATGATTGTAATTTTGTTATTTTTCTCACATATTATATTAACGTATAATTTTTTTTATAAAAAATTCATTAGTATAATATTAATATAATATAAAAATTATAAAGAATACATTATAATTATTGTATGAACATTTAATTTTACAAAATTTCCTAATAATGATTTATAATATTTCGAAATATTTATAAACTTCTTTCCTTATTTAAATTTTTACATTTTCGTTCAACGTTTTTAACGTTTTTAATGTCAATTATAATCATAATAATATCAATTGAATTTATTGATTAATTAATTACACGGTTCATTGTCTTTTCTTTCAATAATAATCATATCTTTTATATAAGATATTTTTTAAAATTAATAACACAAATTGTTGTAAATTTATATTTAAAATAAAATAATAAATAATAGAATTTATATATGAACATATGCTTTCTAATTAATTTTCAAATATTTATATAAATTTGAGAAATTTCAAACACCTCGTGTGTTTATAATATTTCTTGTATAGATACATGGAAGTCGATCGACACAAGTCATCGAGTGTATACAAATATTCGACTCGAAACTTTATTCGTATTTAATTCTTCAGTTCGGCCGTGACCGTCATCGCAGCACCATTAACTAATCGTATTTAAACTTGTTACAGTGTTAAAAATCGTTAAAATATTAAATTTTATATTCTATTAATTAACACCATAATTTATTTTATTTAAATTTTCTTCACTTTCTTTTATCCAATGAAACAGTACAGATTTTTTTATAATATTATCGTATTATAATTTAACTGCTCATTACATATTGAACTGTAAATTAAAGGCATGTTCACTTTATATTATATATTGCATATATATATATATAATTATATATGTATTTCAATAGATTTTAAAGATTTCAAAATAAACTTTATTGTTATATTTTAGTATCTTTTAAATTGCAAACAGTAATAGTTTTTTACAATTCTGCTTGTTTGAATATTTTCCATAAATGTTCAATTAAATTTAATTAATTCTAAGAATCGATATACACAATTTAAAACTTTTAAAGTATATTTTTCATATTTTTTATAGAACTATAGTTACTTCAATCTTCGATTAACCGATTCTTTGAATAGAAAAAATTGATTAAAATTTATCATCGGGATTAGGACCCGTAATTTTTTTATATTCCCTCATTTCGAACTATGATTTATCGAGAAAACCATTTTTTTTAAGTTCTTGGATACGTGTTCAATAAAATATTCTTCCAATTTTTAGATATATAAATATCTTCCCAATTCTCTGACGACATATCTTGAAATATTTAAAATTTATTTTAATATGATATGGTATATATGGTAATATAGTATTTTCGATCAAAGAGTTAATCTAAGAATTATAGAAATTTATTTTGTATGATATAATCTTCGGATTTAAATTTAATTGAACATTTATGAAAAAAACATAAACAAGTTTAAATATTTAAAAAAAAATATTTAAAATTAAAATAAATTTTATTTATCGATTATTTCATTTTATTAATGATAATAATTTATTTTATTTTGGGTATAGTGAGTGAATGATGGTGTTTAAAAGAATCTTCGACTTATTTTCGATGTTCAGATACAATCACTTCCGATGTATGTTATTTTGTTGCTTCAATTTTATTTATTCAATGAAATTCATATTAATAACAAGTTTAGAATTAATCGTTTGTGTCTAGAATCGTTTAATAAAAAACTTCTCGTTTGGAACATTTATTAAAATTAATCATTTCTTGGTGCATTATAAATAAGCATATATTAAAAATTCCAATCTCTATTTTTTATTAATTTATAAATAATTTATTGGAATATTATTATATTAATAATAATATTATGAGATTTAAAAATCTATAACAAAGATATAAATAATTTGTAAATACATGTTTGTTTCGTTACAGGTGAGGACGAAAAGTCTGAGGAATCTGGTCCTGCAGATTTCGAGCGAGCAATAATTAATTCTGGTAAGTACTTATCATTTGACACATAAATTATGTCATAAATATATAATTCAAATTATAAATATATATTTTCATATAATTTTTGTGAAAAATTAATAAAATAAAATAAAATTAAAGAAATAATTTAAACATATTGTAATTTTTTTTAAAAATAAATAATATATATGTTAAATAATTATACAAATATAATAATAATTGTAAATTCTCGCGTTAATCTTTTCTATATTCTAATCCTCCAAATTTTTTTAAGAGAGACAGATCTCTCTTAAAGGAAAAGAATTTTTCTTTCAAAACAACCATATAAAAAATAGATACATTTATTAAAAAAGAAAAAAAAGAAAAAGAAATATGTAAATGTCTAAGAATCTCCATCTTTTTGCTTGTTTCTTTTTTTCTTTCTTCCAAGAAACGAACAGAAAAGGGTTTCTTTCTTAAGAATGGGAGTAAAAAAATATACATACGTATTTGGAAGGCAACAGCAAGAGAAATGTTTTGCAGAAAAAAAAAAAAAAGCAACACGAATACGCGAATAGGAACGAAAAATCTGGTTTTGAATCCAGTTTGCTTGTATACACATTTGGTGTATATCCGAGCTCAAGTTCTCAAAAACATCCAATCAAAATTATCATTTCCTTCATTTCCTTCATTTTTCCTTCATTTTCCAAACTCGTTTCTCTGGAAAAACGAAGCTTCAAGCGAAAAAAAAATATTACTCCCTCTTTTTAAGTAATAGAACGATTCCATCATTACTTTATTAGACTTAAACCTTAATACAATTTTTTTATTCATCCATGAAATACCACATTGCATCTCTCTCTTTATAATTATCAAAAAAAAAAAAAAAATTGTATATGAACGCAATATTAACCAAAAATCAATTATATTATTCATCTACACATACTTAAAGCATAAACATATTTTTCTAACAAAAAAAAATCAAGAAGATTTCCTTTCGAATAAATTTTCTTTCCAATACGAACAAGATAAATTTATTTAATTGGTTCTGCAGGTTATGGAAGGTTCAATTATCTGTTACTATTGGCCGTGTTGCCAGCCAGTTTCTCCAGCATCTTCTCCTCCTCGGCCATATCGTACGTGTTGCCGTCAGCTGAGTGCGATCTGGGCCTCACCATGTTCGACAAGGGCCTACTCAACTCGATGACGTTCGCAGGTGGTATATTCATTTATTGGCGTAACCGCGTAACCGCGACTATAATTACAGGTTGAGCTTAAGACACAGAGAGTCAAAGCGCGCATTTGGTACGCTTCGAGTTTCTGGTTAGAACAAACAGTTCTGGTGTACGCTATGGACAATTTAGGGAATGTATTTGTGCGAGTTTCAGACATGGTAATTAAACGACACACTCTTGTAACCTCATCCTGCAATTGGCCTGCGTGGCTCGCATGGCTAACGATCTCGAACGTTCGCCATTGATTCTCGAGTGATCTCTCGCGTTCGAGATCGGCAGATCGTTCGATTCGTCCACTTAGAAATCGCTTCCCGATTTTCATATGTACGCTCACGCTCGAAACGCTCACCCTTCGTTTTTTAAACGACACGTTTTTTTTTGCATTTTGGAAATACTTTATAGATAATTAATCAATTTTAAAATGTAATATTATTGTATATTTAAATGAAACAGAATTTCTGATAGAAATATTTTATATATAAATATACGAACATTTTGTTTAAAAAGTGAAGAGAGCTTCAAGCTTTTGGACAAGAATGTATGCGTATACGAAGTGTTAATATATTCGTGGAATTTCTTTAGAGAATCGATCGAGTATGGGTCGAAAGAAATACAAAAGTTGATATATAAAAATTTCGGTGTAGAGTTATTCAAATTATAAGTTGATTTTTATTAGATGAGGCGAAGTAGAGATAGAGTGGAGATGTCTCGATCTCTCCATCTTCGATTATTTTTCTATATCAATTTTTCTATTTGTTTTAACCTCTAGAAGCGATCTTCTCGTCTTACGAATATATTAATACCTTGTTAGATTTTTAATTATTTGGGCAGGTAAGAAAGTAAGGCTTGGTTGCTTATCAGTGAATATACTTAAAGATATGTAACAAATGAATCCCTACGTGAATTTCAAAAGGTATTGGGATCGAAACTTTCTTGGAAATTTTTTCTAAGAAAGAGAACGGATTGTTTTTCGAAATAAAATTTTGCGATGTAATCAGAAACGAAGGGATTTTCGTTTTCATATTGAGATCATATTTATAAATATTTTACATCTTAAATCTAATTGATGTAGTTCATCTTTATAACTGAAATCATAATCAAAAAAAAAAAAAAAAAAAATAACGCGTTATTATTCGAGAAATTGTTAAATAAATTTGTTTTATAGTTGATATTATGCTTAAATTTATTTGCTATATTATTTATGGTATTTTATATCGTATTATGAATTTATATTGCATTGTTTCGATTTTTATGCGTGTAATTCAAATTGAACCATTCGTCACACGTTATTCTACACAAAACATTCGAAGGAAATAAACTTTTAAAAAAAAAAACTATTAGAAGCTTATCAGTTTTTTATCACATAATTAATAAATCGTCGTAATTGTCGTAATGTTTTTCTCCAATGTTATCTTTAATACGATTGTTTGATAAATAAATTATCAGTACCAGTACCGTATGTTTTTTTTTTTTTTAAAAAGCTGATATAACGATAATAATAATAAAAACAGATAGAAGAGATACGAGAATTTATGAAAACGGAAAATTCCACGGAAATATCAATGAATATAGACAAATAAACAATTTAGATTGATTTACAATGTGTTATGTGTATGTTATGTGTATGTTTATAATTTTTAAACATTTTTAATGATTCAAAACAAAAATCTTATATGTAAACAAATTTCATAACGACATATAAAATATTAAGCTATTGTTTATAAAAAAATTTCATCCTTCGTTTCTGATTTATCTATCTGCAAATAAAAAGATTATTGCTTCTTATTGTATTCATTATTCATATCAAAATTTGTTTAATCGCATTAATTATTGTGTCCTTGTGATAATAATGTTATTATTCTCAATATTGAATCGAATATTTTAGTCGATTTTCAATTTTCATCAAACAAATCATTTATATATAATTCCTGTAGAATCATATTCTCTCTTTAAACTGGAATATATCTACTAATAAAAAAATTTCACAGAAATATAAATCATTTCCTGTGTGTCTTCGATAATTTTTCACAATCAATAAATCAAAATACTTAACTTACGAATCTAAATGAATGGACGTATATTGATTTCTATTAATGAATCATTAATATCAATCAATGATTCCATGATTGTTAACTTGTCAATTATTATAATAAAAATTGGTGACTGATTTCAGGTATGATATGCACCTCGTTCTTCTGGGGATTCATGACTGACACATTTGGCCGTAAGAAGATAATGTTTTACGGTTACATGTTCACCGGTATCATGAGCCTCGTGACATGTTTCTCACATACCGCATGGCTTTTAATCCTGTTCAAGTTTTTCGACGGAGTAATGTAAGTTGATAGAACGATCGGTATAACAATGAAAACTTGAATCGTTGCGTTCGATATCTATATTAACATTATCAAGTACATTACTTTATATGTATATACTGTGAGCTGTTGAACTGACGAATGAAAAAAAAATTTTAAACTCACGTATGATTTGGAAAAAAAAAAAAAAGATTGTCGTGTATTAATTTAAATGTATTACGTATATATAATTATAGCAATGTAAATTATATCGAGATATTTGTGATTATGATTAATAAAAATTCGTATGTCATTGTTTTACACATTGATGTGTAACGAGATCAGAGATTTCAAGCAAAAATTCTTCAAATATTAAATTTCTTTTAATATCAGCATTTCCGGCCCATACGCAGCGTTGATGTCCTATTTGGCGGAAGTACATAACGATGCTCAACGATCTCGAACATATATGTGGTTAGGAGTGTTTTTCTCACTTGGAAATATTTCTCTGCCGTGTGAGTATCACTTTCTTATACTTACGTATCTTTGAGTATTATTTTTATCTAAAGTTGAGTGATTTATTCAAATTACGATTGTATTTAATATTGCACAATTTATTTACCACAATTATTTTTCCTAATCATATAAATTATCTAATCAGATAAATATAAAATAAATTTTCTTTGATTTCACTTTCTTTTTTTCATAAAATTTTAATGTTACAAAATTGTTTAAAACGAATGTTGTTGCACCCTCGAATAATGGAAAATTTGGAATGCATAAATCATTTTTCTCTATGAAAATTAGTAAAATTCAATTGAGAATTTATTATATTCTTAAAATTACGTTATACTTTTCAATCGTGTGAAAAGAAATGTATATTTTATGTTTCAGGTATCGCATGGTTGATCATACCGCAGAAATGGATTATTAATCTAGGAAGCGGGGATATAGAGATCAATTCATGGCGTGTGTTTTTAGCGATTTGCTCGTTGCCAGAATTTCTTGCCTGCATGGCCATCTTCGCGTTCCCCGAAAGCCCTCGTTTTCTTTTATTGAAAGGCAAAACAGATGAGGCTCTCGAGGTTTTTAAAAAGATATATTCAGTGAACACCGGCAAGGATCCAAGCACATATCCAGTAAGCAATTTTTTGGCAACGTGATCAGTGATATTTCTTATATTTTTCGAGACAGTTCTGAATCTTTTGAATTTTTTGAAATTAAATATTTTTTTTTTGTTTTATCGTGGAATAATTATATTATGATTTAAATTAATCTTCGTATACGAGTGATGTTGCAGTTTTTTAAAAAAAGAATTTTAATTTTTTATTAATTGTTTTCCCAGCTATACACGATTTGGTTGGAAAATTTTAAAAAATATGGACAATTTAATTTCAGAAATTTTTCATTAATATTCGCGTGAAAGATTTATCAAAGGAAGGTGATATTCGTTCCAGATAAAAGATCTTGAGGAAGAGTATTCCGTTGAATGTTCGAGTGACGATATAAGGGACAAGTTGCGAGCCTGCTGGCAACAGATCAAACCCCTCTTTCTGCCACCAAACATCTTCAAACTTATCGTGATAAGTTTAATTCAATTGGGCGCCACGATAGGGTTAGAATTAACGAATATTCCTTCAAATATATTCTCAACATTGTTGATTTTATTAAATAAAATTTGCGTAAAAAAATTTTTACTTTTTTTAACGTATTTAAAGACTTTTAATAATATTTAATAATATTTCGAATAGTTTCTTAATCTCTCATAATAATTTTAATGAATCAATGACAAATTATTAAATTTTTAGGTCAAACTCGATTAGATTATGGATGCCACAATTGTTTACTATGATGGAACATTTCAAAAGTGATTACACGACACAGGAATATTCGAGCTCTCAGCCACGTTTCTGTTATATGTTAGGCCAACGGCAATCGAATTATAGTTCCTCGTTAAGTTTCGTAAATGAAACTTTAAACGTTGCTCACACATGCATACCGGTATTAAAATAATTATCTATCTATATATATATATATTTAATTTCTTATGTGCATAACTATATTCATTTTTTAGATTCTAGGAAAAAAGAAACAAATATAAAAGTTGAGATTTATTTATTAAGTTATAAACAATTTACATTTGATGAAGATTGTCTCCATCTTCATTCAAGAAATAAATTACTCGTAGCTTAATAAATAAATCACAATCAATATTTTCGTATGTCAATTTTTGTATTTGTTTTAATCTCTACAATCAATTGTTTAATATTCATTATTATTAAAATTTAAATTTTTCTCACATTATACATCGTATTATTATTACATTTATAATTTATGCGTTTTATTTTAGGCGGAATTAAATTCAAAAGTGTTCATTAATTCTATCGTGATTGCGACTACCGGTGTCATTGGATACACTTTGGCAGGATCATTGATTACTGTAATAGGAAAGAAGAAGCTTATAGGTTAGTTAATCTATCCAAATTTTCTTTAATCTAGACTTAATTTTCGTGAAATTAATATAATATTAATTTTTATCTTTTTCAGCAAGTTGTTTCATGGTAGCAGCCAGTTGCTGCACGTCACTCTATTGGGCTGAAAACAGCAATAGTATACTCGGCTTGTGCTCTGTATTCGTAGCTATGTCGAGTATAGGTGGTGCTTGCGTCGTAAACATTGTTGCTGATAATTTTCCTACGTGTTTAAGGTGTAAAAATGTTTTATTCTCTATAAATGTTTCTTCCATATTCTATCATATCATATTTCTAACTATTTTAATGTTTTTTTTTTTTTCAGAACTATGGCAATTAGTTTCTCCATGATGATCGGCAGAATAGGAGCTGTTACAGGCAATTTATTATTCCCGGTGTTATTCAACTTAACTTGTCTGGGTCCTTTCTTTATGATTGCCTCTGTTTCCCTAGGTAATATTATCTCTTTTATAAATTCTTTCTTATAAATAATTAAATATCATGATATGATCATGATGAATTAATTTTTCTTTCATTTAATTGAAATTTTTATTATTTCTTATCACTTCTTTCATTTCGTAGTATCGGCATTGTTGGTAACTATTCTTCCCAAGAAGCATTCGCAAAAGAATAAATCAAAGCAGATTGCTTGACGACAATACGAATGGATAAAATATAATCAGCTAATAATAGCTGAAAATACGGTTTGTAAATATATATATCTTGTCCTTGATTGAATGTATAATTTCAATGCATGATTTTTCATCATGTAAATATGTAAATACATTACTATTACATTCATGTAGCATAAGATATCTTCATCATATTATAAGTGTAATTCAAATAATTTGCAAATCGAATGCATGATCTAAGTGAGATTTTTAAAATAAGTCTCGTGGTTGTATAGCATGAAATAATTTTAAAATAATTCTCGTCATTTTTAACGATTTGTCAGTCTGTGAATTAGATTATAATTGCAATGTTTTTCTAAAACAATTTAATTAAAGGAAACATTATTGTTATATAATAAAAATATATTTTCTTATTGTTTTAGAAATAATTTCTATAAATTGACCTTTTCGTTTCGTATAATTTCGTCTACATAATTTTTAATAAATTTTTGTTTCGGTACAAATAATATTTACTACTAATATACAATTATAAATCTTAATATTTATGCAATACAGATAACAAAACATTAGATGGAATAAACTTTGTTAAGATTTTTAACCAATAGATTAAATAAAGAAGATAAAAAAAATTAATCAGATATCGGAGCCGTGTTTTGGCACATAAATTTTGTAAAGCAAGTATAATAAATAAGGATAGCAAATAGTAGGAAAAAGAAAGAGATAGGATAAAAATTATGGAATCAGCGCCATCTTCAGAGTGCCGTAGATGAAACATATATAGATAAAGAAAGCAAATAATAGAGAAAGATAGAAATAAAACCAGAATTAGCCACTAGCGCCATCTGGATTGAATATCAAAAATATCATTCCATAAGTACTCAATAGATGGCGCTGTTAATTAATTCTTATATCTATCTTTTACTTATTATTTGTTTTTATTAATATTCTAGAGATGGCGTTAAATTGATTTTTAATATTATAATTTTTAATATTTTTATGACAGCATGACATTGTATGTCGCAATATCAAATTCAATGCCATGACAAAGTGATATTTAGTTTTCATATCGATAAAAATCATAATATTTAATGTCATGATTATAAAAACAATCATAAGAGAAGTCATGAATTTATTTTTGTTAAAAATTTCCAGCATTCGTTAGTAGATGTCTCTGTGGTGCGTTGTCAATCATTCGCAATATGGTTACCCGCGTCCACGTGATTATCTAACCTATTTTAATTGTTTATATTCTAATTGTTTACAATAAAAGCAATAATTGTGTATTGTACTATTATTATAAATAAGAATCACTAATGAAAAAATGACAACTGACGAGAAGGTAATTAGTGCAGAAGATATATTGAATAATAAATCAGATATTTCAGACACGAATACAAAAGATTCAGATAGTATCAATAAGTCTAAAAAAGTAAAAACCAAGAAAGAAAAGTCATTAGAGGAACAAATTCCTAAAGGAAAACCAAAATCTGGTAGGATATGGAAAGAACAAAAGAAAAGGTTTGTAAAAAAAAAAAATAAAATATATTCAGTAATGTTAAGTTTATTTTGTATTATATTTATAAATAGGTTTTCTTCTATTGTTAAAACACGTGGTATACGATTGTCTTTTGATAAAAAACAAAAATTGAAAGAAGATCTAAAACATGTTAAAGAAATGTCACGGGAAATAAAAGCAAAAAAGCAAGCGGAAAAGGAAGCAAAAAAAGAAAGAAGAAGAGCCAATTTAAAACGTGCTGCAGAGAATCAGAGGAAGAGTGAAATTGTACAAGTTGTAAGTATTTTGATTAAATTAATTGTAAGTAATTTTGATTAAATATTTTATTATGTATTTGTATTATAAATATGAAAAACATATAAAAAAAATAATTTATATAATGTTAAAATTAGTATTATAGTATTCAGATCTGTGCATATCGAGTCATATGATATATATTATTATAAAATATATAAATGAAGAAGAGACCAATATAGATGATTATCTATATTATATTAATAGATGATTAATTATTATCATAAATGCTCCATTATAATAAAGTTAAGTTAGGATATATTATCATTGTAATTTCAATCATCTAAGGATTGTTTTGTACTTTATTTTAGCATTCAGCGGATTCGAATGTCTCTATAGATAGATAGGATAGAAATTATATTGATTAACTGATATTAATTCATCCATTATACCAGTTTTATATCAGTCACTATGATTTATTCATAGAAACAATAAATAAATAGCGATCGTATATTGACGTTATGCATATATGAATATGCATCAATATAGCAATAACAAAAATTTTTTTAATTTAATATCACGAAAAATATAAATTTTCGGCAATAATCCATGTTATAATTATTATAATCTTTCAGGTATAAATTAAATTAAATTATCACTATATACTATCCAATTCGTTGAATTAAGGAGCCGCGATTAATATTATAACATTGGTGTATATAAGATTAAGTTATTTGATTGAGTTAAATTTGGTTTAAATATATTTTGGTCGTCGTAATAATCATTATGTTAATACCGAATTTAAATATTTTAACCCAAAATATTTTCCAATAATGTATCATACAATCTAATAAGCATAGACCCAAATACTATGATACATTTAAATTGAAATTGAAATTGAAACTGAATTTAATTATAAATTATTTTATTTTATAGATCACAAATACTGCAAAATTGAAAAAAATTAAGAAGAAACATCTCAGAATGATACAAAAAAGAGATACGCTCAATTTTTAGAAATATTGAGCATTTGCATTTCTAAAATAATTTGTGATTTTATAATTAAAATGTGTGAAGTATGTATTGTAAATAAAGAAAAAAGAAAAAAAAGAATAGTTTAAACATATATAAAAAATATATATATAATTTTCAATAATACAATTTATGATCTATACAATTATGATCTATTTAAATTTCAGCATATAATTGATTCTTGAATATTAAAATAAAATATTTTCTTAAAAATATAATTTTTAATATATATAAAAAAGTTTTTAAAGATAACGCACTATTTTTGAATATCACGTTTTCTAAATTAATTCTTTAACATTTTATTCTTTATTTTCTCTTGCCTTTTGTTTTTCCACAAAATTTTTAAGATTTCTTTTTAAATCATATTCATTTTGTTTGATCCACTGTAAATTCGAGAACAGAAATTTCATTAATAATTTCCTCGATTATTAAAACAATACGAAATCAATGTTAAAAAATTTACCATTGATTTGACCCATTTTGGAAGATTCTCCTTGTTTTGCGGCACCAGGAATCTAAGAAATTAATAAATCACGTTGAATATTTGTAATAAAATGTCTCCATTTACATGTTATTAAATCAATACGAACCTTTCATCTACCAACAATACTGCTCCCCAATCATGAATGTGTCTCAAGCAACGTCCTAATGCTTGATTCAAAGCTCTGTAAGCTTGAATAGAATACCATTCTGAACCTCTCAATAATCCTTTCGAAACATTCATATCGTTGTACGTCATTTTCATATCAATTACAGGATCCTTTCTTACTGCATATGGTATTCCAACCTGAGAAACAACATTACTCATGATTTCTTAATGATTTTTAAGTGATATTAAATCATATTTAAATTGTGGAAACTCACAGTTATTACGCAACGAGCTTCGTTATCCCTAAAATCAATTCCTTCTGCTACTTTTCCCCTGAAAACTGCCAAGAATAGAGCTCCAGTGATTGTTCCTTTTGGTTCAGTCGAAGTATACTCTATCACTTCACGGTATTCGTTCATAATATCAGTAAGACCGCCTCCATGACGAGGTTCTATGAAAACAGTTTTAACACTTGTAATTTTACTCCAAATAGAATTTTGTTTCCATCTCTCCATTTGTATGTTCATTACGTTGTAGGAAGAGAAAAAACAAAGGATTCCATGAGGTATCGACTCGCAAACATCTAGTAACACTTGGCCCAATTCATCCTATAAGAAGAAAATCTCAAAATATCAAAGATCTCAAATAAAAAGATATTATTTTTAAATAATCAAAAGCATTCCTCGAAAGTTATATTTTTATTTGGAATTTTCTTTTTAATTTCAATTTAAACAATCCTGTACAACACCCTTAGATCCCACTTGGACATTTGGATTTTTAATTAGAAGCTTACCTGAAATTGCCAAGTATTCACAATTTGGTAATTAGCTTTTAGCAGTATCCCATTTGGTCCTTTTGGTATACAGGTCGCATAAACTTGTTCCTTAGGTATCACGTGTCCAGTGTTTAGCACGTGCGTGAATGACGTTCCTAATTCACTTTGGAATGACGTGGTTGGCGTCAGGGTGCCGGACGCGAGTATTATACAGCGAGCATTTAGAGCGAGCGGTGAAAAGGCCACGCCAGGATTCATGCACACTAATTTCAAGGTTCGTACACGTTGTTCACATTTCTTTACCGACATCCACGCGTTTTCACTTACCTAGAGTTTCAAATATAATAAAAGATAATGTTTAGAATTTTTTTTTTTTTGAGAATATAATTTATTTTAAGATAATTGGATCTATCATTTAAAAGGTAAGATAAAATTTGTTAAGTAATTTTTTAAGTAATTATTGAAAATAGATAATATTTAATTTTTTTTTATTAATTCTCGACTCACGTACATGTTTGAAATCTTTTACTGTGTTCTCAATCACGCATGCCCTATAATCATTTTTGTATTCCTTAGAAGTGATCATTCTTATGCTGTACATTAGATTTTCAATTGTCATTTTGGTGCTAGATGATATGATTGGTTTCATTATTGATTTGTACATTCTATTGTCTTCTTTTGCTTTATTTAAATCCGAAATCGCTTTATTGCAGGCCATCAGAAACGTAGAAAGGACAGTCTCGTTTAAACCTTTCATATTAAATAATTGTACTAATTCTACACCAGTCCAATATTTACTTGAACGATTCTCATTATTGTAATCCTATTAAAAGGATATATATTATATATTAGATATAAATTAATTACAATAGATTAACGAGAAGGTAGAAATTGTTATATTTCTATAACAATAGCATAGGATTAGAGTTTAGTAGAATTTAAAGTAATAGATTTTAAAAAAATTATATGTAAGTAAATTATATGTAAAGTAGCTTCGATTTAATTTAATTAAACTATCATATTTCTATCACACCCAGTAGTTTTTTTTTTAGAATATATTTTCTGATTAAAAAATTTAGTTTAACAAATAATTCTTTAATTAAATAAAAAAATACTTACGACTTTGTCAAGACTCATGTCTTTTAAAAATGCCACCAGTTCGAGAAGAAACGTTTTGAGAGTATCATAAGTCGCGAAATCTTCAGCTCTCTGTTTTGCAAGAGTTTCACATTCATATGCAGTAGCTTGAAGATGATCCTCGCGAAAAGCAACACTAGAAACATCTCTAGAAATATCTTCTATATTATGAGCTTCATCCAAGATGATCACCTGATCTTTCATATCCAGTTGCAACTAAATTATATTAGAATATAAAAATCAAAGAAAATATTTTATTTATTAGTATAAGTACTATATATAAGTACTCACGCTTTCCCGAATATTAGGATCGATGATATAATTGTAAGGACAGAAAATAATATCCGCAGTGTCCATCAAGGTTCTCGCTGCAAAATATGGACACGATTCCTTGTCCTTTCCAATATTCACCAAATCTTCGATATCCCATATCGGTCTTAAACCAAGTCTTTCCAACGCCCAGAATGTGCCAATTGTTTTTTTATTAGTTTCGTTGTAATATGGACACCCTTTGTGCTGTGTATAAAAATATTTTTTTTGATTTCAATTTTGTGCACAAGAATGTAAAAAAAAGATTTATTCAAGAAACTTGCGATAGATGAAAGAAAATTAATTTTTAACAATTTGCATCATTCCTTTAAAAACAAGTGTGTTTATCATTTGTACGAGTTTTCTTTTAAGCTCTTCGATAATTTTAATTTAATATAAAAATTAAAAAAAAAAAAAAAAAAAAAAGAATTAACAAATTTTTACAAAGCAACTTTTCCTTCAAACGAAATATTAATTTAAATTAATTGAACACAAACCTTCGCAGTATCCAATAATTCATTGCAAAGCTCGGTTTTATTTTTAGTGGTATTTTGTATACAAGTATACTCTCTACTGCTTAAAATAGTCATTCTAAGAAAAAAAAAAATAATAATAATAATAATCAACATAAAAATTTATCTTCCACATAAAATACTAGAAATTTCTTACTTCTTATGTTTATAACAAGTTTTCCTCAATTCCTTCACAACTTGTTCAATTTGCTTATGCGTTCGCGTGCCATAAAATATTCTTGGCACTTTTAACTTTTTTCTAAAATAATATCACGCATCGAAAAGATCAATTTAACAATTCGAGAGAATGGGGGGAGAGGAGAAAAAAAGATGGAATAATTTTTACCCTTTTGCATCTTCGAACAAATCTTCGCAATCCTCGTAAGAATCAACGTCGGAATCAACCGTACACTTTTTACTCGATTCTTCGCAACAATCTTTTTCATTGTTCTCGCACGAAGTCGTTCGTTTACCCTCTCCTGGAACAAATACGAAAACAAAACAAAGAATCCGTTTAAATCCTTCCTACACCAGCTTTCAAGCATCGAGGAAATTATAAAACGACGAAAGAAAAAAAAAAAAAGAGGGAAGGAATGTCAATAATTCCTTTCTTCCTTTCTCCTCTTCCTCCTCCAACCAACTCTTTCCCAACTTAACTCCGCTATTAACTATCCAATTATTAACCTTCCAACCGAGAATTAAAAGTAAAAATCAATGAAACGAAAAAGAGAAATTTTATTTCAATCTTACTCGAAGGATCAATATCAAAATTTATATATTATACCTTCCTCGATCCCAACCCCTTTTCTTCCACCCCCTTCTTGCACCTTCCTAAATCCTATTTATATATACAATATAAAGATGAAAAGAAGAAAAAGAGATAAAAATCCAACGATTCATTTCCAGATCACAAAGAAGAAGAAGAAGAAGAAGAAGAGGAGATGAAAAAAAGGCGAAAGGTTGAAAAAGGGACAAGAATCTTTCATCGAATTCGCATGATCCCCGGGCGCATCCTCGACGCGAGCGATTTCTAAGGGGGCCGAGCTAACTGAAAAGGATTACGCTTATTTAGGAAGTTCTTCGCCGTTGAAAGGATCTCCTCTCACGGTATAGATAAAGAAAGAACATCGTACCATTCTACCTTATGTGTGTATATATATATATATATCTATTTCCTTCTCTGCTGGTTGCGCTCTATTAATGCCGTGAAACGAGCGAGGACGAGCGAGAGGAATGTCAAAACAGCGGGATTGATGGCAGGTGAAAGGGCAGGGGAATCTATTGAGCGGGATCAATAGGGGTGGTTTTATCCACCCTCTCGCCGGATGTCGACAAAAGGAGGCCAGCTACTCGAAGGAACACGGAGGGTGGCGGAAGCACGGTTAAATCCTTTCGTGGCTCGATTCACCTCGAGTCAGAAAAATAGGAATGATCGTAAATGACGATGAAAGGCATGAAATGGACGGGTTCGCTGGTAAGCGGATTTCGACGATTGTGCTTTGATTTTACCAAGCAACGATTCTCTAGCTGGAATCCGAGGCTCTAAGAATCTATTCCTCCTGGAGGGGAGGGATAATATTTTGACTCGAAGGTGAGGTGAATTTATTCTTCCTGGTCGAAATAATATATAAACGTGATATTCGATATGAAGATGAGATTGAAGAAACGAGGTGTGCGAATTTGATCGATTCAAAACGTAATGATAATTAATACTTGATGTAACGTATCGGATGTGATATTTGATATTGAACAAAATTCGAAAATGAGACGAATCCACTTCTTTATGGAGTTAATGATATTTGATATTTATTTAACAAAGTTTATTGAATTGTTTGTGGGTAGGATTGTGTGATTATTTGCGGTGATGGTGGATTAACATTTTCCTTTTTCGTGCATATTCGATGCGATATCCTGATACTTGAAAATTAATTTAATTAGCGTTTCAACTAATGAATGATAGTTTATATTACTTTATATTTTTTTGTATCTATAATTTTCTTTTTACGTCTTGTAACTTTATCTTACGAAGTTGTGTTAAACCAAACTGTTGCTGCGGATCGATCCGTTTGTAGCGGATAGTTTAACATTCGAGTTCGACTTTGCAGAAGATGTAACGGAAACTTCGGAATGATACTTTAAAACAAATAAAGAAAAAAAAAAAAAAAATGGAACATCTCGATTCGAAGATTCTTAAAGTAGGTCTTTGGAAAAAGTTCAGATTATTCTTGACACAATATCTTTCATCAATTGAACCAAGTAATATCTAAACTAACAAGATTCATCAATTAAAATTAATCACATGGAATTTTCCATTAATAATCATACTTAACTTCCATACTGAACTTAAATTACCCTCCAAGAAAGAGAACAAAGAATTAAGCTTACTCTTAATTACTGTATTATTTATCTTTCCTAAATAAATAAATATTTAAACAATCAAACACAGATTATATCATTCTACAACACAATAATGAAATATCTATCGAATAATGATAACAAAGATGTAACGTCAAAATTTTAAGATTTCAAGAACCTGACGAAAAATATATAAAATATATATAGAAGAGTATAGATACTCACTCAGAAATAGGGACGAAGAGGGAACTCGAGCGATTAAAATGGGGAACATCCCGTTAGATCCAAGGCTCGTGATAGTGAAAGAATCGAATTCGAGCACGATCTTGGCACGAAAAAAGGTGGCCGACTTTCAATTTTCGTCGAGGGTGGTCGTCGACGAGAGAGGGTAGGGTTGGAGTCAGGGACAAGGAGGGGGAGGGAGGTGGTTTTGATCGTCGATAGGAGGCACAGTCGCGGCTGGCTGATTGTCGAAGGGGGTGAGAAGAGAGAGGCTAAGACAGGAAGAAGCGGGACGGGGCCAATCAGAGCGGGGACTTTGAGGGTGTCGTTGCCAGGCAACGAAACACACCCCAACACCCGAGGGGAGAAAACCCCGAGGGGGTATCATCCAGCGATACAGTCGACGCCGAAAGTTATCGCACCCCTGAGAGACGCCCCCTTTAACGTCGCCATCGAATTACGCCCTCGACGTCCGGACACTTGCGGGTTGTTGCGTTCGTGGCGGCACAGGAGAAGGGATCAATGGAGACGGATGGAGGAGTGGATGACGAGAAGAACGTCTCGTCCGAAAATGGACGCCTGCTCGGATGAAATTGTTCGTCTATCGGTGTAATAACGGAAATAAGATCGACGAGTTTTTCGATTTTTAATAAATTACGCGGACAGATAACGGTTGTAAGGATTACTTTAATTGGTCTAATACGTGGTATGTCGGTTAATGATTGGTATGATTAATTGGAAATATATTATAAAATTGTAGAAAATATACATCTATTCGCGTAATAATTTCAACAAAAATGCAGAGATATATTTGCTATAATAAGATTTTGGTAAATAAATAATAGGTATATTAGAAGTTTGCAGGATAATTTACAAAACATGGATGTAATATTCAAATTATTTTTGGCATTTCTTTTGTTACGATTATTCTTAAATTGTTTTTAATCGATGGAAAATTAAGATTCATAAATAAACATTTTTATGCGTTACATAATTCATTTTCCAACGCGTGACATTTTAAAATTCTTTTACTTTTTAAATTACATTTATGTCGTATATTTAATGAAATATGAATATTTATCAATACTTTAACAACTTTATCAATACTTTATCAATACTTTATATAGGGATTGCAATATTTTTTTTGTAAATTATTCCGCGCATTTTTGAAAATATAACTTTTGTTTCTTGAATTTCTTTTCAATAAATAAAATTCTCCAATGTTTTCATTGAAATTAATTATTGCACTTTTTTATTTTTTAGGAAAAAATAAAATATAGAGAAGAATAATATAGAAAACAGAATAAATTTATATTTCCCATAAAGATCGATAAATGAACGAAAAGGAAAATATATTAAATGTAATAAGCATAACGAAAGCAAAGTATTCGTCGCATCGTATTAATCAATTAAGGAATAATCAGAAAACTTTATCAGTCGAAAATACAGAAAAAATACGATCAACAATTTTGAAAATTAAACAATTGTTGGAGCGAACGAACGATGTGATAATGAAATTATTGGATATGAATTGAAGTTTAAAACTTGACTGCTTATTTATTCCTTTTTAATTTAACCTCTGGCTGGAAATATTCGAAAAATGACGCGCGAGAGTATCGGTTGAAAGGCCGCACGCGCTTCACGCGTTCGAAACGTTCGGTTCGAAACCCTCGCTTCTCCCCTTCCATTCTAAATTCATTTCGCCGCTCCGATATTTTGAAATTTATTATTGCGAGGACAGCGCAAACCGAGCCTCCTCTCCGGCGAGCAATTATATCAATTATAACGATCAACGTCGATTTCCATTCATCCGAGGCTCGTTATTCTTTCACGAAGAAGCCCTCGCCCATTATCGAGCGAAACAGCAACAATCGAGCTCGTAGAAACGCGTGGAACGCATTAAAACGGTGTAAAAAATGAAAATCGGATGCAAAAATATACGGCGCGCGTTCCCCCATTCATCGTGAAGGGTTATAAAACTGATATCAATCATTCGAGAACGACCTCTGTCGGGCGAAATCGAGGTCAAGATGCCTCCAATAATATCCTTCGCTATCGAGAAATCCTAAATGAATCGGCCACTGTGCCTTCTTATCTGCGAAATAATTCTAACCGAGGAAGAGGAGCAGGAGGAGGAGGAGGAAGAGGAGCAGGAGGAGAAGGAGAAGGAAGAGGAAGAGGAGGAGAAGGAGGAGGAGGAGGNAAAAAAAAAAAAAAAAAAAAAAAGAAAAGAAAAAAGGAAAAAAAGAGGAAAAAGAAAATTCAGAGAAACAATAGGGTGTCGTGTCTCGTCCGTATTTCCTTCCCCATTCATCGTAGAGACTATGAATGAGCTCGTTTCACGTCGATCACTCGCTTCATATCTCGCTCCCTCCCCACCCACATATCGCGAATAAATAAACAGTTGATTCGCGAGTATAAAGCGGTCGATTCTTCGATTCTCGTCGATGAAATACGGGGACTTTGTACGATGATCGGTTACGATGGCTAATTAATATTGGTTATCGTAAGTGTCGTGATTATTCTAGAGAGGGAAAGGGGGATACTATGGTGAGACGTACAGTGTGTTTAAAAAGAAAGGAGTTTAATTTTTTTAAGTGAGATGATTTTGATCATAGAAAAATTATCGAAAAAATTAAATGCATATATATATATATATTTGGAGTAACAATGACACAACTTATTGTTGTGTTTATATTTTTTTGATAAGATCACGTAAAGGATTTTTATGTAATCTTTTTACATATTCTAGTTTTTATTAAAAATCATTTTCCTTAAAATATTAATTCAATTAATATAATTGAATTGATAATTGAATAATAAAGTAGGAATATCGATACAATCAAAATTTTTAAAAGATTCCAGTACGAGATTCAAAATTATTATATTTAACGTGTCGTAT